CGCATTCGCTTCAGATTTTATTTAACTGAAGGTTAACTAACAGTAAAAAACAACCACGCTATGACAACTAAGGTAAGGGACAATACAATAACGATTGGCGCCATATTACAGAATTATGAAATATCTGCACTGGTTGATACAAACAAAGACAATCGCTTTTGAAAAAATGCACCTTACAACAGCATTAGCAATAAGAGCAGAATACAAAATTTTTTCAGTACAAACGTTATTAAGCATGAAGAGTAAGTAAATTTAATACAGAAAATAAAGAAAACAGATAACTTTGCCTAATCACGTAGTTTTGTTTCGCGACAACAATTTTGTGGTAAGTAACGTATTCAGTATGAATATAAGTTCAGCAATGAAAGTGGCATTACAGTAGTACCACTATCAAATTTTGCCGCGTTTTTAACTAAGATTTTGAAGACAGTTTTAGTTAACAGAAACATCGTTTTAGCTTTTTAAAGTTTACAGTAAATGTAGCCTAGAGCTCACTTCAACGATATCACCATCGGCACATTCCAAATGAACATAGAAGAATCATTGGTTACAATAAGTTTATGTTCTTTGCCATGTTCTACAAAAAAGTGACGAGTATGTTCTATCCTGACAACTAACTTTTTTAAAGCCAGTAAACAATTCCATAATTCCAAAATTTTCTCATCTTGTAGTTATTTATATCTTAATTACTAGATGTAAAAAATTATTGTAGCTAAGTTTAGTGCTGCTGAAAGCGGCAATCGAAATTGATATTAGTGAGAAGGCATTAAGAGATAATTGAAAAAAAATGAATAATTTAATTGCTTAAAATAAACTCTGTAACACAAGTTAAAAACGTATGATAAGGCCTTATAAAAAAAGATCTTATTTGGTTTGCTAAATTTGTAAACTGTAAGGCTAAAATTCAAATATACGCTAGCTGACATAACAATCTAAGCATATCTGTAATGAACTATTTCTTTTCTCAATTCTATCACAAAAATTACATATTTAATGAAATTGTAGTCGGTACTCTTCTTTTTAAAAAACAAACAGCTAATAAAAGTTAAAAAATTTTTCAAAAGTTTGTAAAATTGGCACTTCTTATCTCAAGTACACCAATGAGGAAGTTAAAAGCAGATTAAAATTTATGTTCTTCTATCTGTAATGCACTAGAATTACACGATAATGAACAGTACATTTAGCAAAATTTCCAATTGCTTAAAGGTCTTATTTACTTTTAACACCGGCAAATGAAAGGTGATAGCGCAACGTTATTAGTGCCCCAACATGAAGCGATTCAACCATGTTTTTTGGCAATTTTAAAACTCCTGTGCTTTCCATTGTAGTATTAAAATAGTAGCACTAAAACGACAAGAATTTTAAAGCAAGGATTGTATTCCATTTTGCTGTTCACCTCATGCGATCACCGGTAACGCTCTATCTCAAAGTAACTGTCAAACAGTAACGTTGTACGTTTACAGTTCGCTAAATGCTGTACCAAGCTAGGCGCCTGTTATTGCTGATTTCCACGAACGATTGCTTCCTGAAGATAATAGCCTTTATTTTTACCAAAATGTGTCGGAATAAGAGCATAGACTGCAAACATAAGGTTATCATTTTATTTTGTCTCTTTTTTTTTTACAAATTTTTTTTTTGAGTTTGGCTTGCAGTGTTTTTTTGTGATTCAGGTATGGTTGAATAAAAATTTGAAATTCCTGTTTCATATAAATGTTTCGCTTTGTAATACACATTGCTGAGTATCCTGTCAACTTTGATTCAACATGTGATGAGTGACTGCACAGTAAATTATTGAGTAGTCAAATTTGCCTGTTCATTATAGAACCTACTTCAAACCACTGTGGAAGACGATGACTGTGCGGAGCACTTTTTACTTCATGAATTGGCATTTCGCGAGTTTCTTGTCTGGCTGGAAGTGTGACAAGCTTAAGCTCTGTACCCCTGGAGGTCGGAACTGAAGGCACCTTTGCTTGATTCTTCTGTTCAAATTCCTGCTGTTCCTCATTACTGAAGTCATTAATTTTTGGCTTTGAAAAATAATTATTTGGATTTACCTGAAAAGATTCTGGTTTTATTAAATTTACAACATTCAGTTGCTGGAGCAACTGAAGCATAGTGGGGGTTACCTATGTTTAGTTGAAGTTTTAACCATTCAAACCAGTATAGAAACGTTAAATATATTAACAGGTTTTTAAAAATCAATGAGGAAAAAACGTTTTATCAATTTATGAATACGTCATAAATCAGTACTTCTGTATTGTGTTCTCTCTGTATTTCTTTTTTAAAATGAATTTTTTGAAGACGTTTTCTTTTAGCTCTCTCTGCATTACTTCTTGGTGGGGTTAGGTCCAACACGACTCTGTAATTCTTTCGTAAGTTTTGTTCAGGCATTTGTTCAACTCCCTAATTCGGATAGGATTGAAGAAAGATAAAATAAGTGTGGTTCAAACTGACCAAAGGCACAAAGAATTATCGGTCTTTAACCGCTTGTGCTTTCTCAACAGATTTTTAACAGAGTTTTTCTGACTGTTTTTCGGGTCATTATTGAATCAATGTCATGTTTTTCCCCATTGTTCGCACTCTTTTTTTAGTTTTAAGATTTCTGACTTAGTGGGACTAGTAACTGCCGTTTCCCAAGAAGATATTTGTAGAGTCACAGGTAAGTGAGAGTCGAACTTACTTTGCTTGTTTGTTCGGACTGGCGTATTTCATCAATTTTCGAGTGCTTGGTGATCCCATTCTCACTAATGGTGATTCATCACCTTCCGCGCTTGTTTTAGCTGCGTCAGGCATATCTGACTCTAGCGATTTTTCACTGCTAGAAGTTTCTAAACTTTGTTCGGACGAACTATTAGAAAAAATTTTTATTTCTTCTGAGCCTTCCAGTTTCTCGTTCTTGCCATTTAATCCACTAAAAGTTTCCAAGGTTTTATTAGGTGATTTTGTGATTTTAGTAGAGTCTTCATATTTCTGCAGCAAATTGAGCAACCACTGAGGGAGGCTTTTTTTACCATTTGAAGTTTCGCCGTTAATACCTTCTAAATCAAACGGAACATAGGGAGCTGGGGCATCAGGTTCAATCACAATCTTGTCTAAATGATACGGGTCTTCCTCATCATTTGGCTCTTCATCATCGTTGTCTATTTCCGATTGTTTGTAGACTAAGGGTTTTAGTTGTGATGGCTCTCCGGCCTTCTTTCTTGCTGGAGGAGACGGTGTTAGACGAACGCGAGCAACATTGTCATCTAGGCTCATATTATTATCACGAGAAACATAGTGATCTGGAGGAGCAGAAGTCGATGACGGGTAATGGTATGGTTTTAAATTATAGCCCTGTGGGTACTCGGGTGTTATACCAGGATACTTCAGGGTGGTGATTGGAGGTGTTGTTCTGAATAAATTATCTTCTGGACGTGTTTCATCTTTCACTGAAGTTCCAGTCACAGATTCAGAAGTAGTAGTTGTGAAAGGCTGTCTTGCGTACGTCCGAGGTTCGTTGTCGCGATGCTTTGGTACAGTAGAGGGTTGTGTTGTTGTCTTCGTCAGTGGCTGTACAGGTTCACTGTAACGTGTCTGTGATGTAGTGGTAGGTTGCGTAGTAGTTATAAACAGCTCTCGTGGATAAGTTCGCGCCTCGTTATCCCGTAGCTGCGGTATGGTGGTATACTGCGTAGCTGGTGTGTACTTTTCGTTGGAATAAGTTTGTGCTTCATTACCGTAAAATTTTGGAAATGCTGGTGTGGATGCTGTCACCGTATTAATCTCTTTTGGAAATATATGAGCTTCACCATCGCGTAATTGTGGCTCGACAAAGTGCTGCATTGGAGTTGGAGGAAAATACGGAGGCTGGTAAACGGGTGTATAGGGAACTTGATAGTGAGGTGAATAATAAGAGGGTTTCTGAGACGGATATTGTGAATAATAAGAAGGTGGGTAGGTTGAGTGAGCACGTCTGTAATCATTATATATTTCTTTTGGTTTCGTGGTCGTTTTTAGTGGTGCCAAATGAGGAGGAGGAGTTGTGTAGGGCAGCGCAGATGGATTTAGTCTGGAAAACGGTCTTGAAATTCCTGACATTCTGTTATCAGTTCGGTTCCTATAATTTGAAATTCTTTTTCGAGTTGCGTTTGCAATTTTTCTAGAAGATGCGGGTTTTGATATCCTTGTTACATTTACACTTTGAAAACTCGTTGCGTCAGAAACTTGGTTGACTGGTTCATCAGGTCGTGTGTGAAAACCAGGAATGTTGACTATCACGTTGTTCTTGTTGGAAACTATAATTTGTGTCGTTGGCCCATTAGTATTTGAACTATTTCTATAGCTTTTTTGCGGCCGATAAGGGCGATTTCGTGGACGAAATTGTCTTTTATTTTTCTGTAAAGTACAGTATAATTTAGAGAAGGTTTATCAGACTCAATTCTGAACACCTCTGAACACATTTTATTTAGTATGTAGAACTGTTCACAGCATAGTCAATTTAAAAACATTCTAATTGCACCTGAGGTCAGATGAAGATATCTCTGTGATAAAACTGTGTATGCTTTTGACTCTGCTACTGAATGAGGTTACGTTTTTCTAGCACAATCAGTGGTTTATGTCAACCAACAGTCATATCGTCTACAAACAGAAAAGTACTCATAGAAACTCAAGTTTTTGAGTTTACTAAACAAATTATTACAGAATTCAGAGAAAGCTTTTGCTGCGCATAACGAAAAAGAGGCACATTTTCAAGTAGGTGAAAAATGCTGTGAAACAGTGGAAGTGCTGTTAGAAGTCTGAAAATTGCTGACAATTAATAGATGCATAAGAGTTACAAATCGGCTACTAATGTTCAAGCAAGTTTTGGAGCTTTAGGTTGCTTATTTCTTACGCTTATTTTGGTCTGTTGCGTTGCGAACTTTAATTTGGTCAGCATCTATAACATCCCTGTTAAATTTCTCTTCTATTCCACTGATATTGTACCTCTTCTTTATTTTTTTGTATTCCTATCTCAAATAAATGTGCTCTACAGTGACAGAATCTTACTGCTGTCTTAAAACTTGTTAAAGCTTTTACCTTTACTTTTTTTTGCGGTTGGTGATAATTTCTACAATTTATCCTAAAAAAAGGTTTTGCTGCCCAAATTTTAGAACTACGCCACAGCTGCGTTTTCTAAGGTTATCAGAAGTGAAAACAAAGCAGTGATGAAATAAAACTCTAATGCACTTTGCAAGAACTGCCATAGGAGAATTTGGGAGAGCAAAGCAAAGAAGTAATCACACATATATTAAATGAAGTGAAAGGAATCATAGTTGCAGATGCCAACCACAACAATCATGAAGAAACCGAATTTGAGTCAGCAAAGCCGTGCCAGTCTGCAGATATCAAGCAGATAACCAATTTTCTTTCATTTTTTACATTGGTTCCAAATCTCGCTTGCCGAAAGAAGAAGCGTCATTTTACTTATTTATTCGCCTAGCTTCTTTCTTTAACATTGATGTGTTCTTGAGATTTTGCCAGAAATGGGCTGTATTAAATCTTATTTCAATTTTTTTTCACTTCTTGCTGTGCTCTTCACTACTGTTTCTATGATGAGCCTTAAGAGGTAGCACAATACGTTGCACCGCTGCTTGCTTGACCTTACTGAACTTATACCCAAACTGACTGTTTTTTGACCTTGATTTAGCGCGATTTAAAATCAACCAGCTAAGCTGGAAATTCTTATCTAAAATAGTTCCACTGAAAACCTAAAAATTTCTTCTGCTTAACCGTATTTTCTAATATATTATTATATTTAGCTTCTAATCAGTGAAGTGATTGTTCAGATTGTTTAGCTGCAAAGAGACAATAAATTGGTAAACGTGAATAAAATAAGGAAAGAAGTATAAATTCACTGTTTTAGACCGTTAAAGGTTCGAGCATGCAAAAATGGTAATGTAAATGCCGTTCTGAAATTGAACTGCGTTCCGCATCTGTTTTTCGCCAAAAAACGGAAAAGTGAAATAATAAAAAATTTGGGCTGCTGAGTTTTCCAAGTTCATTCGTCTCATTGCTGCTTTTATTATCTGCGGGTGAAGTCCCTTACGAATTTTTGTATCTGAGCACTTACGTATCAACGCCGTTTTGTAATAAATCTTTAAGGGCTTTAATAAAACAGAAACCCGCATAACTTGACAAAGGAAGTTAAATATAAAAGGAGCAAGTGTATATCGGGCGTATTGCTACTTTTAAAAAACGTTGTTTTTTTTTGACTCTTATATTTGGCTACAATAAAGTTTGTTAAAGTATCATAAAAACCGAAATGCTTAAAAAATAAGAATGCTAAAATTTTTCACTTTATCGTTAAATTAGAAATCTTACTAAATCTTTTCTTTCGGATTACTTTTTTTGAAATTTTTTTATCGACTTAATTGAGTTTTTGAGCAGAACCAAAATTTCTTTCTTTTTATTTTGAAGGATCTTTGCAGTGTTCCTCGAGAACTTACAGAAGAATAAAGTACGCCGCATAGTTTTTAAGCCGCCGGCGATTTTTACGACCTTTATTGATTCAGGGTGATGCACTTTGCAGTAGTTTACTAAGCATTTATTGGTAGGTTACTTGTTTGACTGAATGCTTGAGTAATAAAACAGTAAACAGGGCTGATGTTGCAAGGTTTAAATTATTTTTTTCTAACATCTTCTTTATCTGATTAAACATAAGCTAGTCGGGCAAAATCTCAATTTCTGAAATTTTTCTCAATTTTCTCAATTTCCCAGTTTATATGCATCATTTCTAGAGTATCTACGCAGCAAATCATATAACTTTAATCAACTTAACCGTTTGACATTTCTCACCAACATTTTTTCAGCTTTGGAAGCAAACTGAGGCACTGTTGTTGAGACTGTTGTAAGTAAGACTATAAATAAATTTTTCGTTGGCAGCTATTAAAGCGTTGTACAATGACTTACAAAATTTTTTTTCTCTTTCAAGCCTCACAATTTGTATCAAAGATCTAGAGCTTAAACACTTCACCTTTAATCGCCTTCTGTAATGTCCACTCCTAGAAGTAGCAGGGACGGCATTGTAATTCTTCCTTATCTGGTTTAGTTGGGTCACATTATTATCTAAAAAGAAATGTATGAAAGAGTATTACAGTGAATCATATAAACAAGAACGATTTCACTGCGAGTTAGTCATGTTTAAAGCAGTGGTCTTCCACCTGAGATTGTAAAATTATATGTTTATTTTGCCAAAGTGAGGAAATATTGTTGGTGTTTTCAGCAAATTTTTTACTTCTTAAATCATTTTTAATCGTTTTAACTGTTAATAGCAGTTAGTAAGAGCCTTAGTACATTCTATTTTAAAAACAGTTTGAAAACACTCAGTACTTTATAAATTCACCTTTGAAAGTTTCAAAGTAATCTGTTTCTCTAAATAGAACTTTGATTACACATCTTTTACGGCTCTCTGAACTGTTGATTTCAGGCCCTCAACTGTTCTATGATAGGGTTAACTAAAAAAGCCTAGGTTTTGATTTTCAAATTTCAACGACTTTGCAAAGCAGAAAAACCGCAAAAAATTTTTCTTGTTTTTTTTTTTCTTAATTTTTTTTCTAAGGCTTTAATAGATTTCAATTATTTGAAAAATGTGCTGCAGAGTAAAAGATTTTGGGGCGTTTAAATAATCCACAGTACTTAGTGCCAAATTCGACTAGGTTTTGCGAAAAATTAAACAAGTTTCGTTTTCCTAATACGCTTTTTAAAAAAAGTGGTTTTTCAACGCTTTATTTGCTTGTTCCAACACTTTATTTAAAAGTTTCTTCTATAAACTGCTTTTCTGTCTTGAGACATACATCAAAATGGCTCATTCTTTCATCAGTATGTCGTTACGTTTCAGTTTTCGTGCATTGTATTTTTACACTCTACTGCTTTTCCCAACTTTTGCTCTTCAGCTTTATCACTGACTAAAGTTTGCAGACTTTTCAAAAAAGCGTTTATTGTAGACTGAGCAGTATTTAAAATAAAACTGCAACTGATTTTTAATTACAGAAAGTTTTTTTTTGTTTAAATTAGCTTTTTATTTTTACGCAATTTACGCTCTTCAATCATGCAATTTATAAATTATTAGCATTTCTGAGCAAATAAACTGTTTAGTATACTACTAGTACTAATATACTATTATACTATTAGTCCCTGACCTTAGTGATAACAATTTTTCACGAAATTAAAATAAATAACGTTTTCTGTTAACAAATCTTTCTGGAAAAAAAAAGTTGTATTAAGTTAATATTAAGCTAATATTAATATCAATAGCTAATATTAAGCGTTTGATGAAATAAACGCAAAAAATTTATGCTAAATTTTTAAGGTAAAAGTTGATAATCTATCTTCGTTTTCAAAACAGATATAAAAAAATTTAATTCACTGCAATATAGTAAGCTTTCTTACAAAAAAAACTTTATGTTTTAAACATTTGAATTTTTTTGCCATACCTTTCTCAATATTTTGCGAATTATCTGCTGCTTCAAGCGGAGAAATACTTTGAGCTTCTAGAGCTATACTTCTATTTGGCAGCTGTGAAAGGGACGAACTGAAAGAGCAGATGCCGTTGATACTGGTAAATTATACAGCAGTAATCGAAAAAAAAAAAACCGAGTAAAAGATTATGTCTTTAGTGTATTTGATGGTAATGGTTTTTACCTAAAATAGCAATTCAAACCACAGAACTGCGGCCATAAATTAGTTTTTGCAGTTCTGCGTAATTTTTCTCGCAAAGTCCTAATTTCTTTTTTTTTCTAGATTAATCAATTTACTTATTTTTTTTAGCACCAAAGAGAAAAAAACTTTTATGATTGTAAAATTAAAAAAAGAAGTGCTTTAGAAGGCTCAGAACTTGGTGTTATTTCATCGCTAATCAAATGATAAATGTTTTAAAATTGTCAAGCCATAAACCACCATAATTAGTATTATAAGTAAGTTATTGAAGTAGAGCATATTAATAGCGTTGTTAATTGCTGTATATAATTAAATAACAATTTAATTTGCTTTAAATTAAATCAGTGTATAAAAAACTTTTTTTCTTTATTTTGCAGCTGAAATACAAATTGTCATGTTTATAT